GTGATACGGAATTTCAAAAAACGTATACAAAACTTATTTATAATAATGAAAAAACGTATGCAAATTTTTTATAGGGCTGACTATACTACAAAATTAAATTTTTGTCCTCAATGTCCTTTACACCAACAATCTGCTGCTGACAAAGACAGATTTAATTGTTATTTCATTATTCTCCATACATCTTGTGCAGCTTTTTCATATAACTATTATTCTGATTACAGATCCATAACTTTATCAGTTAGTGCACTTAATGAACTCGCTCTTGCATGTGCTATTTCCTTGTTGCAACTACAACTCTTACAAGTACCTCACTCTGCCACTTCTCCATCATATAATACTCTCATAGAAAGGTTTATTTCCTTATCTTGTATAACTGATTTATTAACACTTTCCTCACATTTCCTTCAGTCTACCGAATTAGAATTTTATACTAACAGTTCTCTACAAAACGTTGTCTTCCATCAAATAAAATGGGATCTGCTTAGCTACAAATACATCCAAACTCACCAATGATTTCCTTTAGCACATCTTTTATTACCAATTTTCCATCTTCTTCTTTACTAGAATTTGCAGCTCTCTTCACTGCTCTTTTAACTGCCTCTTGCAATTGTACAATCAAAGTTCACACTGACTCTTCAGTTATAATTTTTCAATTCAACAAATACAAATTCCTTTCACAACAATCGCTCACTTTTAGACCATTTTTAAAAATCAATAACTTTATGCATTGGTCTTGTCTATTTGAACTCATCACAACCAACAACCTCAACGTCTCCCTTATTAAGGTTAAAGCGCATGCTGATAGCTTTTTCAACAATAAAGTAAACGCACTAGCGAAAGCAGCTCTTGAATCTTATATTCTATAATTCAATACTATAGCTGCTCCTAAATGTTTTTATACATTCAACAACTAGCTGGTCTTATTCCAATAAGATAATTCATTAAAGAATATTAACGTTTTGAACACTTACAACAGTTCATTACTCTTCACATTGTTTCTAAATATCATTGCATTTTTTAACCTAACTGGTTCGTAATATTATTTTGTCTTAATGATAATGTCACTACCAGCCATACAACATACATAGCCTCTACAATAAGGAAAAGAAGTTCTAACGTCTACTTAAGATGCTACCTACCGTTGAAGTTCTAAAGATTAGACACCCAACTTTGTTTCTATCCTTAACATTATGTTCTAGATGTGATGCTACAGATGAAGACTTCTACCATATCTGGCTATGTCCTATAGTTGACTATGAAATGAAATTGCTCATTCAACGTGTAAAAGATTATTTTAAATTCATTACCAATACACAAATTAGCGATATAGAAAAACTTAATTGGTAAAGCCTCTTAGACTCTGCCTCTTTTCTTATTCTCATTAAAGACATTGTTTCTAATACCCTTTTTAAATTTATCTACTACTCAATTCCTCATATGCTCATAGCCTTGACTGCATATTTCTTTTTTATGCATTTTATCTTTGAAGAGACTCAGAGGTTTTGGATAGAAAGATGTATCATCCAATCAGATCGTGAAAAATCTGCAAACATTAAAATTGATCAGAAAAATAAGAATTTTGTTTCTTCTGGTTTTGATCTCTCACATGTTATTCTTAACAATAACAATAATCCTAGTCTGATTTCTACTATAATACAACTCAGATCCTATTAGATGAATTTTTAGTGTAGTAGTGGCTAAGTTCTCTTCTGCTTTTTTCATTTTATATTCTCGAAAATGATAGTTTTAGCTTAGATTAGAATTGATTCAGGAAAGTGCAAGGTTAGTCTTCTTTAGATTAGTTTTTTCTTTTCTTTACGAGATTTTCATTTTTTCTTCTTAATTTGTATTTTGTTTTATATAATTTACTTTTATTATAATAAAGATCATGTGGAATATTGCACTTTAGAAAAATAAATATATATATATAGGTATACATATAAAGTATAAAATAGAAAAAAATTTTTTTTTTAGAATTTACTACTTTTTTACTTATAACAACTTATAACATTAATTAAAAAAAAATAAAATAGTCTAATAATCTTAAAAAAATATAATAAATATGTAACAGGTTCTATCATAAGTTCTATATATTAACCTGAATATTTATAATAACAAAAATATATTCTAGTTTAAGACAAAAAAAAGACATATATTAAGTTGATAAGTAATTAATAAAAGAAAACAGTAAAGATGGTAACTATAATTAATATATTGCAACATATAATGTTATAATATATGTTGCAACTATGTTGCAATAATTGATGATATTTATTAATTTGTTGCAACACTTAGTAATTAATTTAACTAATTTTTGCAATTTTGCAATATTTTGAACATCTGAATATTGAAGATGTCAAATTTTTGCAATTTTACAATATTTTAAACATCCCAGACATCAAAGACATCAAAATATTGTATTTTTGTATAATTGCAAATAAATCATATACAAAATTAGTAAAGTCATATAACATTTTGCCGATTTTACTGATTGGTTACAGTAAAGTTATATCTGATCAATCAGATTATTGAGCAGAAAATTTTTAATTACAATTTCTTTTTTTAGTTTTTTCATAAAAAAAATAAATTTTTAATTTAAATTTTTTTTTTTAATTTTTATTTTAAAAAAAAAAACTAACCTTACTTAACTTGTAGACTGATTCATAATCTATAAACTGTGAACCTTTGAAGATAAGTCTTAATGGTAATTTTTTAATTTAGATTTTTTTTTTTCAATTTTATTTTTAAAAAAATAAAATTAATCTTACTTACTTTATAAACTGATTTGAAACCTATAAACTGTGAATCTTTAGAGGTAAATCTTAATGGTAACTTTTTAATTTAGATTTTTTTTTTTCAATTTTTATTTTTAAAAAAATAAAAACTAATATTAATTGCCTTGTAAAACAATCTGGAATCTTTAAACCATGGAATTTTTGGATTGTAGGTAAGCCTTAATGAAATAATTTTAATTAAATTTTTTTTTTAAAAAAAAAAACTAATATTAACTTACCTTATAGATTGATTTAGAGCTTTCAACTGTAAAAATCTTTGGATGAGGTAAGGCCTAATGGAATAATTTTAATTGAATATTTTTTTTTTATAATTTAACAAAGAATATTAACATTAACTTATCTTATAGATTGATTCAGAACCTCTAACCTTGAAATTTTTGGATTAGAGGTAAGTCGTAATAGAAAAATGTTAATTAAATTTTTTTTTAATTTTTTTAAAAAATACTAACATTAACTTACCTTGTAGACCAATTTAAAACTTTCAACAGTGGAATTTTTAGATAAGGTAAGTCCTAATAAAATAATTTTAATTAAATTAAAAAAAAAATTTACATTTACTTACCTTATAAACTGATCTGAAACTTCTAACCGTGAAATCTTTAGATTGAAGGTAAGTCCTAATAGAATAATTTAATTAAATTTTTTTTTTTTAATTTTTTTAAAAAAATACTAACATTAACTTACCTTGTAGACTGATTCAGAATCTCCAATCATAGAATCTTTGAATGAGATAAGTCTTAATGAAATAATTTTAATTGAATATTTTTTTTTTTTATAATTTAACAAAGAATATTAATATTAATTTATCTTATAAACTGATCTGAAATCTCTAACTTTAGAATTTTTGGGTTGAAGGTAAGTTCTAATGAAAAAATGTTAATTAAATTTTTTTTTTAATTTTTTTAAAAAAATACTAACATTAACTTACCTTGTAGAATGATCTGAAACCTTTAACTGTGAAATCTTTGAATAATATAAGTTCTAATGAAATAATTTTTTAATTAAATTTTTTTTAATTTAACAAAGAATATTAAGATTAGCTTACCTTATAAAATGATATGACATCTTCTAAATCTTGTGAGTTAGTATTTTTTTTTAAAAAAAAAAAGGTAATTAACACTAAATTTACCTTTATAGATCAGTTCAGATCCTTGAAACCTTGGATTAGAATCAATCAGAAATAAGTCTTAAATAATCTGTCAGGTTTTTTTTTAAAAAAATAACTAATACTAATACTTATTAATATTTGTTTTTATAAATCAGCTATACTTAAGGTAATAGAGGCTGAGTTTTTTTTATTCATAACTTTAATAGTAATTTTCATTATATTTTAATTTTAAAAAATCATGTAAATTTTATTTTTTTTTAATAAATCTTTAAATATAAATATTAAATAAAATTGAATAAGTTTACTCATAATAAAAATTTCTCTAAATTTTATAAATATACATGCATAAAAATTTAACTTGCCATTCTGATCTTAACCACTATTCTTATGAATTTCTATTCTTTTTATATTTTTATTTAAAATTCTGATAATATAAATGAAACTGAATGTATATTTAGATTTGATTATGTAAATATCTTTAATTACAAAATCACATAAATAAATATTATATTTAGTTTATTTGCTATATAAATTTTTTTTATTTATTCTTAATTGTGATTAGAGTATTAAAAAGTAAAATAATTCAATCCCTTTAAAACTTTTTAATATAGATTTAGTTTATTTTAATACTAATTAATTTATAATTGATTATATTTTATTATATTCAAAAGATATAATTTATAAACAAATATATTATATTATTTTATATCAAGAATATCTTATTTAGTATAATAAAAATAATAAAGATGCACTAAGTAATAATAACTTTAGTAAAAATTCTTACAAATGAATATTAACTGTAAATAAATATAAATAAGTAATAGTAAAAGAGAATAGCAATATATTTTAGATCAATTAAAAATTATAAATAAAATACATAATTTAATATACAGTATATTGAAAATTATACAGAATAGTCCTAATCTTTAATTTTATATTAATCTAATTTTTTTATAAATTTTCTTAACGTTTATTATTAATATAAAAGAAAAACAATATCAGTACCCTATAGTCTCACAAACTGATATCACTTGATATAATTTTTTTGTATTTGATAGGCAACCAAATAAGTATAAAAAGATAATTGCTTCAGTATAGAATCTAATATTCAAACAAGTATAGAGAATCAGCATCTTCAACAAAGAACTAAATACCTAAAAAAGTATAGAAGATTAATATTATTGACATAAAAGCTAGTATTCAAACTATACATAAAAAATTGAAACCCTCAACAGAGAACTAAAAATTAAATACATATAAAAAGTTAATATTCTTAACATTGGAGCTAATATCCAAATAAGTATGAAAAGTCAGCATCTTCAATATTGCTAATTATAATAAAAATATTTATCAATATATAGCACGTAATAAAAATAAATGCATTCAAATTATTTAGTCATAGTTGTATTTAGATTATTTAATTATATAATTACAAAGAATAAATAGGAAAGAGGTAAAAAAGTGATTTCAGAAATATAAAAAATCATCATACTTAAGTTATTTAATTAGATCATTTAAATATATTTAGGTTATTAACTTTAGATTATTTAGTTATATTTAAATTATTTAATTATATTTGGATTATTTTATTACTAAATAACCTAATCTAAGCTGATTATGATTAAATAATATAATTATATTATTTAGTCATAATCAACTTCATTTTTCTTTTAAAAATTATTTATAAAATTTTATTATAAAATTTTTTAATAAAATTTATTTAATATTATATATATAAACATTTTAGTTTATAAATTTTAAATTATTTAAAATTATTAAATATTTTTAATTATATTAAAATAATAAATTTTATTTTAAACAAAATTATTTCAAAGATTTAAAATATTTTTTATTAATAAATATTAATAAAAAATATATATATACTCAAAAGTTTAGATATGATTTTACTAAATTATTAATAAAAAAAATACCTTAAAGCTTAAAGTAAATTTTATATAATAAA